CATATACACATGCATAGAAGTTGTGCAAGGAGATTCTATCAGATAAACTAGCCCCTACTTCTGTAGATTTTTATGCTGAAGGGAATTATCCAGACTATAACATATTGGGGTATATAACCCAGGATTATTGCCAGTAGAGTAAGGGCCAGTTAATTTTCTATAAGACTTTGGAAGCAGGGATTGTCAATTTTACTATTTTTAAAATGCCATTCTTGTGCAAAACATGCTATTAAAAATTATGAAAGTTGCTGATGCCAGATAAAGAACAAAAGCTAACTGATCACTTCCCCCAGCTCTTCTTGGGGGGCACGGGCTCCCAGATGATGCGGGATGACAGCAAGCTGCCGCTGCCAGCTGAGGATGGCAGTGGCTCTGGGCTATTTCCCCAGCCCACAGCAGCAGCCTGCTGAAACCCTGCACACAGATCCAGAGCTCGTGCCACCCAGGAAGAGCTGAGGGAATGATCAGAGAGCTGGGGAATCAAACAGGAGCTTCAGCTGACAGTTGAATCCACTCTAGCTCCCAGACAGTGCGTGGTGCCCTGATGAGCCGCATTGCGCCCGCACAATGGTGCAGCTGCTGCGTGGGTGCCAGGTGTGAGGGGGCAATCCCCACTGCTTCCCACTACCCACACTGTGTGTGTGGGGGGGGGGGGGGGGGCAGAGGCCCCAGTCACCGTTGCTGCATCTGGTGAGTGCGGGGCTTTTTTATTTTATTTTTTTTTTAAAGCTCTGCACTCACCAGAAATGGAGCACGCAGATGACAGCATGCTGCCACTGGTGGCTGAGGCTAGTGCCAGCACCCGAGTCTGCTCGGCACAGCCCACACCATGCCAAGCACTGGGAAGAACCCAGTCCTGACGCTGGCTCCAGCCGGCAGTGGCAGCGTGCTGTCATCCTGTGCATAGATCATGGGGCCCACACCCCCTGGGAGGGCTATGGGGCTCTGCCAGACTCATCCCAGGGAGAGCAGGCCCTGGATCTGCATGCAGGATGACAGCAGGCTGCTGCTGCTGGCAAGTGGTATTAGTTTTGCTTTGAACCAGTTGAGGTGCAGTTTCACAAGAACCCCTGCACCTATCTCCTTGAAACTTGGCATGCCTTATGCCCTCAGAAGGGGCTACCATCCCTGCAAGAAATGACAACGTTATAGGCATTTTTGTGATTCCCCATTATAGCCTATGGGCGAAACTTAGAAACACGTCAAAACAGCGAAACAGTTTAGACAAAACAAAATGGAACAGTGCTTTAAAACAGCAAAATGAAACACTATCCCTTCGAAACAGCAAAATGGAAGTCAAAACAAAACAGTGCTGTTTTGTGCAGCCCTACTCACTAATATACCTTTTTTAAGTTGACTGTGTTGGATGGCAGTGTCATTTCATATAATTTTACTTTTCTTGTTTTTAAATAGCCTCTCTACTGTGATTCTTATCTTGCCTCTTAAGTTACAGTAGTCTAACCATAACAAGAAGATCATGATTATAACTGCCTATAAAGAACCAGGTTTCTAAGGAAATATTATCCACCAATAACTCCAGCAGTAACACTTTTCTTTAAGAAAGGAAACCCAAGTAAGGCCCTTTCTCGTACTCTACTACTAAATGCCCTCCATGATGGGAACTGCAGGCATCACACCCAAAATAGGCTGGTGCAAATGATGTCATTGAAGATAGTTATTAGGGGTGTGCAAAGCAGGCCCTATTCAATTTGGATTTGGATTTAGCCCAAATCAGGGACAGTGATTTGATTCGTTGGTTCGGATCACTGTCTCTGATTTGATTCAGCCGAATCCAAAAGATTCAATTCTGATTTGGAGAATCAGCAATTCAGATATAGGCACAGCTTTAAATGCTTTTTCTACATACCTTGAGGTACCAGTGTGGCTTGTGAACAATGTGATGCTGGGGAGCATGGAGCGTCCCACAGGAGTGCGGGGGGGCCCTCCACGTGCTTGGTGGCGAACGTACTTCTGGCCCACTGGAAGTACTTCTGGTCCACTTCCAAGTCTGCTGCCATGCGCACTGGGGAGCCCCCCATGGTTCTGTGGGACACTCCATGCACCAAGCCAGAGTGTGGGGGGAGGGGCCCCCATGCACTCCCCAGCAGACCTGGAAGTGCTTCTGGTCCACTTCCAAGTCTGCTGCCAAGCATGCTGAGGAGCCCTGCATTCTTCTGTGGAACACTCCATGCGCCCCAGCATTGCATCATTCACAAGCTACCTGCTACCTAGAGGTATGTAGAAAAGAACATTTAAAGCTGTGTCTATGTCCGAATCTCCAAATCTTTCCAAATCTCTCCGAATTGATTCGGGGGGGGGGGGGCGGTTCGGTGGGGGGGGGGGGGCGGTTCCGATTCGATTCGGAGAGATTAAAGGGTCCTCTGATTCAATTCAGATTTGGAGATTCAGCCACCAAATTGGGCTAAATCTCCGCCGAATCAAATTGGGGACTGAAGTTTTGCACAGCCCTAATAGTTATGGGGTTTCACTGGTTATAGCAATGATTCTCTACTAGGGTGCCACAGCACTCTGGAATGTCTTGAGATCCTTTCAAGTGTGCCATGGGGTGCCACAAAATGTTAGCACTGTTAGGTGTACAAAAAGATTCACAAGACAAATCTGAAATTAAAAAAAAGAATCCATAGTGTTAAAAACATTCTAGCTAATTGTGGTTCTTTGCAACAGAACAATTGCTCTTCTGCCATCATAATTTTTCTGTAATCAAAAAAGTGAAAACTAAGAGCTAGCATCTTCTAAGGGGTGCCTTGAGTATAACAAGAGGTGCTTGGAGTCTGAAGATGTTTAGAGACACTGGTGTGCAGCACCCTGCACAAGTGGAACTGGACATTATGGATGCCTTCTCATCCTGTTGTTTGCAACTGTGGCTATGGAGGTGCTTCAATGTAAACATTCCTGTCCTTTGCATACCATACCTTTCCTCACTTTTTTCTTTCCTCAGAAAACTCCACGTACATCAAGTGAAAAATGCCAAAAGCTCAGGGTTTATGTGGATAAAATTAAATTTGCCCTTTGTGGTTTTACTAAGGCTTACTATCTCTGACATTAGATTGCCAGCTCTCACAATTTTATAATGAATCTCTAGGTCAGCAGTTCCCAATCTGTAGTACAGGCACCACCAGTGGTACTCGGACACCCTGGACACATGTTAACAGATTTATTATAATTACTTTATATGACATAATTTGCTGGTGGTACTTAAGGTTGAACTGAAAAATTTGCCGGTGGTACTTAAGGTTGTATCATGTTAAATAGGTAGTTCATAATCTGTCACAGTCTGGGAACTGCTGCTCTAGGTAGTTAGGTATGCTTCTTTGGGTAGATGTGATATCCTTTATTAGACCAACTGAATAGTTGGAAAAAAGTTCTTTGGAAGCTTTTGGGCACAAGCACACTTCTTCAGACATAGATTCATAGATGTTAGGGCCGGAAGAGACCTCAATAGATCATTGAGTCTGACCCCCTGTATACGCAGGAAAGGGTGCTGGGTTCAGATGACCACAGCCAGATGCCTATCTAGCCTCCTCTTGAAGACCCCCAGGGTAGGGGAGAGCACTACCTCCCTTGGGAGCCCGTTCTAGATTTTGGCCACTCTAACTGTGAAGAAGTTCTTCCTAATGTCCAGTCTAAATCTGCTCTCTGCTAGCTTATGGCCATTATTTCTTGTGACCCCCAGGGGCGCCTTGGTGAGTAGAGCCTCACCAATTCCCTTCTGCGCCCCCATGATGAATTTATAGGCAGCCACAAGGTCGCCTCTCAACCTTCTCTTGAGGAGGCTGACGAGGTCCAGGTGCCCTAGTCTTTCCTTGTAGGGCTTGGCCTACAAGCCCTTAACCATACAAGTGTCCCTTCTCTGCACCCTCTCCAGGTTATCCACACCCCTCTTGAGTGCGGCGCCCAAAACTGGACGCAGTATTCCAACTGCAGTCTGACCAGTGCCCGATAGAGGGGAAGTATCACCTCCTTGGTTCTGTTTGTCATGCATCTGCTGATGCACGATAAAGTGCAGTTAGCTTTGCTGATGAAGGAGTCTCTGCTGGCATTGGCATTGTTTTAAAACCCAGCTCCTGGGTTCAGGTGACTAGAGTATATGAGTATCTCAGCATTTATT